TGATATTGTAGACTATCCTTGCAGTAAACGTGATTTGTAACAAATCATTTGTTTCCAGTGTCCTTATACTAGGCGCATTTGCTTTCACGTTGTTTTGGACATCGAAATTCGTTCAAGAAATATACCATGCACCCGCGAATAAAACTGCACCAGTGGTGAAAAATGTGTCTGTAGTAAACGAAACCTTCCTACCTGGAGAATTCATTGAATATGTCGAGTGAATTGTATTTTGGATGTATTGTAAGTATTTTTAGTAGCATTTTCACATTCTTATCTAATTTCACAGTCTCACTATACTGAATGTGAGTTTAAATGGAAATGATACTGAATCGCATACCCAATTTAGATCCTAAATGAAGTCGGTTGAAAATACTAATCTTTAACTTAAAAAACACAGACGAAACTAAATTGGAGTTATAAAAGTTTTTAATTATCTGCATGTGGCAAAATGGAGGTTTTAATACAGAAAAATATATAAATCATTAAATATACGTTTTTCAGAGCAAAGTCAAAGTAAGCAAGCTAGTATATGAGATTTTTGCATTTTATTATTATTTACAGAATGATGTTGGTGGGCACAGCTTTCTTTGGACTCTACTTAGTTACAAAAGGGGTGCGGCAGAAATATCTAAAACTGAGCGACGACTTTTCGGACGAAGAGCCGTTATTACCGGAGCACTGGCCTGTCAATACGAGTACAAGTCTCTATTAAGTACTAAATAGTCTCTATAAGCTCGTTATTTCATTAAAGGGTAGCATATTGGTGACTACTGCCCGTTTTCATAATCAATCCCTAATTTTTAAGTGACCCCTATAAAAACAAAATTCCTGTTATGTGTTACCATAGGGGTCACTTAAAAATTAGAGATTGATGGTAAAAACGGGCATAAAGCTCCTATTATTGCTGATTGTGCTTTGACGTGTCTGTTTTTCAGTTTTTACGTATTCTCTATGGGAATACCAATACACGAATAAAAATACATACGTTTAAAATGTACCATTTTAATGCTGTTTTCCAATTATTTTACAGTCAAATGTTTAAGTTTTAAATACAGCAATTTCATTTGCTGAAGTTAATTTTGTTTTGTTGTTAATTTAATTTATGCGTTGATTAATTTCAGGTACCTAAATACTTAAAATTAGGTAACTATACCGAATATATAAAGCTTGTTCGATTAAGTACCGTATATACAGGTCACTAATAACAGTAAAATACCATAACATTAAAAACCAAAAATAAACTCTATCAAATCGTATCCACCAAGTTCATTACAAACACTAACTTTGATGAATCGTTTTGTGTTGATGATTTGTTGTTTTATTGTTTTTTTTACCGAAATGTGGTGTTCATACAAATATATCTTATGCATCAACAAATAAAGGATATCGTTTAACAAACGCCAAAAATATACATTGTTTTATTAGTAAATACTAAAACATAAGTCTGTGCTACATTCGAGACGATTTTAAACATAGAATAATCATACAACATACAAACATTAACATAATGGTAAAATCCAACGGTTCACAGCATAATTTTTATAGCCTTCAAGTCTGCTACATATTCATACGCTACAACATCTAAAACTACATAATATTATAATTAGTTAGTAATATGTATAATACTAAATAATTAAATACTTACAACACTTATAAAATACAAATATTGTGCGTCTCTATAGGCTAAAGCCCGTATTACAAAACGAAGTTTAAAACTTGAACCAATTTCAAGAGTATATTCAACTCCATGCTTAAGATGAAATCGAGTTTTGTGTTTGAGTTTTTGATTTTCGTAATATTGGCCAAAGTGGTCTATAATAAGATGATCAATAGATCACTATGAATCTAACCATAACAATTTTATTACCAATTTTATTGTATAATAAATACTATGGACTGAATTTTGCCTGTAAAAACTGTGATGTAACCTTAGACATGTTATTTCAATTCGAGTTACAAAAAAGAATGATTTATCTTTCAATTATTACATAATATTCGAAGTTTAGACGATAGTCGTATTTTATATTTTACAATTTGGCGTCGAACTAAATTCAATAATTTAAACAACATAAAGTTTTCCTATTCAAAATATTTAAATAGGAAAAAACGACGACAAAAATACGGTGGATGTAACTATAATTTAAAAGAGATGAATTCTTTCTATTACAATCCACTAATAATATGGAAATCAACACAACATTAATTATTCAAACAATATAAAAAGTAAAATGACACATAATAAAAGGCTGGCAAGATATTTTATTTGCTAATAATAATATCATTTTTTTAAGAATTGTGAAATGTGAAACAAAATCGCCTACCTATTTCTAATGAACACCATTACAATAAATATTGTTTGTCGTTTACTCTCTACCGATTATGGACCATCCGTCCATTTAAATATTAAGTACTATGTCGGTTTCATACCAATTTAAGTGTTACAAATAAAGTTGTTTATAAAGTTGAATGTGCTTCATTCATTATTTCCTTTATCAAATTTATCATTATCATTATAATTATCATTTTCCTTTATCACTTTCACTATAAATTGTTGTGATTTTGTGTCGTAATCATGTGTAATATCATAAACTAATGTGATTTTTATAAATAGTTTATACAAAATAGTGAGATTCTACGCCTATTATTATAATATCTATTCTCTGCCAAAATGCCATAAAATTATTCGTGACATAATACGTAGTAGGCAAGTATTTTTTTTTTATTAACAATAATAACGTTCGTATTTGCAAACATTACTATGAGGTTCCACAGTGCGCGTGGACGCACAGGGTGACACACGAATCAATCACAGAGCTCTATTCAACGCTGTGAGTTTGATTTAATGCTTCACATATGCAAGCATTGTTTGTGAATACGGGCGTTAGGGTACGGCAAAGAAGATTAAATAAGCCATGGTCATTGGTCATCCTTAATTTTTAAGTGACCCCTACAGGAATTTTGTTTTCATAGGGGTCACTTAAAAATTAGGGATTTATGGTGAAAACGGGAATAAGCAGATTTAACGGTGCTACAAATATTATTGGGTTGTCAGAACTTCAGAAGTGTTTTAAAATATCGTAGGCAATCAAGAGACTTCGTGCACCGAGGTACATTGAGCCAATTTGTACAGGACATGCAATGTTGCAATATCGAAAGTCAATAAAATTAGGCTGAGTTGCACCACCTAACTTTGACCGTAACTATAACGATAACCGGTGTTTTTTGTATGGAGTTTGATAGATTTTTGACGTTTGTCAAAGTTAAAGTTAGATGGTGCAACCCAGCCTTAATGTTCGTATAGGTCTAGTTCGTGACTCAGTCAATGCCTGAGTTAGGAGGAGGTCAGTGTAACATCAGTGCACCTACCATGAGTTTACGTTAGGTGTGCTCGCTAGCGACTGCGTAAAAAAATGACATTAAATGTATGACATATTGTGTAGCGCCCCTAGTGGCTACTTTCAAGAAATAAAAACTTCATAGATTTCTTCTCGTACTCGCTAGCGACCAAAACTAACGTAAACTCATGGTTAGCACTCAGTGCACCTACCATGAGTTTACGTTAGGTGTGCTCGCTAACGAGTACGTCAAAAATCTCTATGAAGATTTTGTTTCTTGAAAGTAGCCGCTAGGGGCGCTGCACAATATGTCATACAATTAATGTCATTTTTTTACGTAGTCGCTAGCGAGCACACCTAACGTAAACTCATGGTAAGCACACAGGTTTGTATGCTCTGTCACGTCTTAAGTGTCTTAAGTCAATGTCACCCACGCGTGCCGCTCCCATACCTCCTCATAGTTAAGCGACACCTTAAATTAATTTCCTTTTACGTAGATGTTTCATTAAAAATGTTTGTTGTGAAAGACAACCTCACTTCCTATTGTTTATGGTGTGATTTTATACTCAATTGGAACATGCACTTAATCTGATGGCTTAACATTGGTGGTTACCCACTATCATTACCTTTATTGCCTTTTGTTTCGCATAACTGTGTGTACAGCAGGCACTGAAATGTTTACACTTTTTATGGAAATTGCGCTTTACTGCAATATGCTTAAGGGTCTACATTCAACTGACGTAGTAACTATTTCAGTGTAGTGACTGTACTTGCTCACGCACTAGCTTGTTATCCAAGTTATTGTGTTCGCAATGAAATGCAAAATCGTTGTGAAAGCGAAAATGTAATTTTATAGTTGGAAACACAATATCGATAGATGATGTGGTTGTGGTAAACCTGAATTGGTTTCCATTAACCTTTTATTAACATCGAAAATGAAGTCGTACAATTCGGTCGAGTTAATTGAGCACCTGGCAACCGTGACGTCACATCGACGCTCTGTATGGCTAGCTCGAAAAACTTTCGAGTTAGAATCGTTTGCGTATTTGAATCGCCATCAAAAGATTTAGTTCGAAAACCACAACAGCGCCCTTGTGAACGTGTCGGAAATTGAACTTAGTATGAGAAATGATTGCACGAAACTTATTTTGAGAATCAAAATTGTCACGTTATCGTTTAATTCGAAGGTTGAGTATCGAATTTTATTGAATACGCAAACGATTCGAAGACGAAAGTTGTTCATGCTAGAGGTAGGTACTGGTACGGACACGAGGCGAAAGCGGAGAGGTGTGCGAATAAGTGGGAGGGAGTCGCATTCCAGCGAAGGGCGCACTTCGCTCAATCAGGTAGTCTTAAGTTTTGTTTATTTTAAGCTTACTTTGATCTTACAGTTTGAATATGATGGGAGCAATTAAATCATCAGACAGTGGCGGCGTAGCATGGCTTGGCACCCGGGGCGATCAACACNACCCCAGAATGGGTCAGGTCTGCTGGCCCCCAGAATTGATTGAAAAATGTACGAATCAGCTATAATGATACCAAGAAGCTATAATGTAATGTTGTTGGTATACCTCAATAAATAAATACCAATCGTACAATCGTACCACCACATCCCCCCCCCCCACGTATCATGATCTTTGTCATGCAGTGAGCATGAGATGTATATAATTACCTACTTTATCACGATATAATTATGTTTTATTTTATGAAAAAGAGTCAAAGGAAATTAGGGGTTTCAAAACTTCACACATTTATGTACCAATTTTTACTTGCACTAGTTACTTACATCTAGCTGTGTGTGCAACATTGTACGTACAACCAAACGTTGAGTGACCAATAGTATTTTTTTTATAATTTCTAAAGAATCTTGATCCTTAAAACTAACTGGACAAATACTAAGGCTTAAACTCTGAACTCAAGTGGAGTTTTTGTCTAATTTCTTTTTACTCTTCGGGTATAATCCATCCATGCCTTTGCCGAACGGGGAAGCGGAATTCGTTGTCAGGTAGAAATTGCCGTTAGCACTGCAAATAAGAAAAAACACTCGTTATAAAACTATTGTTTAAATAATGAAAACATGAGACCATAAAATATGTAATGGTCAAGAAACGAAAGAGACAGTAATCTAATGGTGTAGGTGATCCATCGCATAAGTAAGAAAGGGACCAAATGAGTTTTTACGCTTTGCATAGGCACAGAAATAGGCACCCCTGCTCCTGTAGCCACTATAGTAAGTGCAACGCCTTGCGCTAATTGAGAATGTTACTAGGTATGCAAAATCACTTGAAACCTATGTTACAGTTAAGCTTTTACATTTACAAATACATTAGTTTTTATTTCATTCAAAAATACCCAGTAGTTATGATTTTATAGGCATTCAAAGTTCGCTTAAATATTGAGTCCCGCCGATGGTCACGTGACCCCGCGTGACGTAAGTACATTCACAGTGTCCGCTCACTAGAAAACGGATATAAGCATACTTAAATATTTTTTTTTTGTAAATACAAACTTATTATACATATTAACACCCAGACCCATCACAGAAATTAAAATTGAACCAAACCCAAACTTGATGCGATTGTGTCGTTTTATTGCGAATTACCTTCCAGCTTCATCATTAGACCCCGATTACTATATAGAATTAAAATACTCATCAATACAAAACGAACGAGCCCAAACTCGATGCATTTAAGTCGTTTTATTATAGAGTTCCTATGGCCACCTTCCAGCTCCATCATCAGATCAGCTCCATGTCATCATAATATTGCATGGTCATCCAAATCACATGTGTTTGCGAAATTTCAGCTTAATCGGTTGCCTGGAAGTGGGTCTTAATTCAGTTTGCAAGATTCCACCCATACAAATATGAGCCAGTCGTTGTAATATGACGTCACGCGCATAAAATGGCGGGCCGGCCGCCGCCCGCACTTTTAAAATTCAATATCTTGGAAACTAATTGACGTATCGAAATAATTCTTTCACGTGTATTTTTTATTTTTAACAGAGAATACAGAAAGCTAATAAACAAAATTAGTGAATATTCTTCATTGGTGAAGGCACGCGCATAAAGGGCAAACTCAATGCAATTTAATGTATGAACTGTGCCCCAGTGGCGTAACTATACCGTCCAAGGCCCGTGGAAATTCTAGGGTATTTTTCAGGGGGGGCCCAGGACCATCGCCCTGAAGCAGCGCAGGGGGGTTGATTAGGGACTTGGGCCGGGGGCCCGTGGTAATTTTCCAGCTCTGCCATCCTATAGTATAGTAACGCCACTGCTCTGCCCTGAAAGAGCAAAAGGCAAGTTTATAACTTACCTAGTATCACATTTGTAGCCCATGTAGATCATGCCCTGCTCAGGACAGGGGTTGTCCCGGAACTTGTGGTAGGAATCGGCGGGCGAGGCCGGGAACGCTTCGGGACTCCGCACCGACTCCGCGTAGAAGCGCCACGAGCGCCAATGGCTGCAGAGATCTGGAAAAGACCACATAATCATCAGCATCTTCAACACCATCAACCCCGAAAAGAAATTTCAGAAAACGAATAAGTTTACAAAACGGTTTTAAAAAAAAGTGTGTACCGCGAGTCATCTGAGATTGTATGCTTTTCCAATGTTCTTTGTAGAAGTTAGATATTCACCGTGGGTGCTTATGTAAAGTCAGGTCGAAGAATTTTGTATTTGATGAGTTGGGTATTAATTCCCTTTTTGGGTTTAAATATTTCCCGACCGCATTGGGGCTCGGCAGTCGCCTGTGTAGCACGTCAAAGAACGCTGAGTATTTGGGAATGTCATTACTTACTATTTATGCTATGCCGCCATTAGGCCAGAAATTCACCATGCTGGATGGGCTCCGTAGCCCCAAGCCTGCGTGAGTACCAATTCGATGAACGCCGAAATTTATAGCTAGTTATGTCATTACTTACTATGTTCAGCAGTGGACGTCCTGTGGCTGAAATGATGATGATGATGATGATGTCATTACTTACAATCATCAGATAGGGACTCAGGGGCGATCCCAGGGCAGGCAGGTTGTATGCTCTTGCCACCGTTAGGCCAGAAGTCCACCGTGCCCGTCCGCACTGGGGCCCCGTAGCCCCCCACATCCATATGGATCACGTCCACAAACTCCCCATCTTTATGGTTATTATGACTCTACTTACTGTCATCTGAGAGAGGTACAGGGGCGAACCGAGGGCAGCCGGGCTGTATGCTCTTGCCACAGTTAGGCCAGAAGTCCACCGTGCCCGTCCGCTCTGGGGCCCCGTAGCCCCCCACATCCATATGGATCACGTTCACAAACTCCGCATCTTTATGGTTATTATGACTCTATTTACTGTTACCTATCAGAGAGAGGTACAGGGGCGAACCGAGGGCAGCCAGACTATGTTATTGCCGCCGTTAGGCTAGAAGTCCACCGTGCCCGTCCCTACTGGGGCTCCGTGTATAGCCCACCCGCATCCATATGGATCACATTCACAAACTCCGCATCTTTATGGTTATTATGACTCTACTTACTGTCATCTGAGAGAGGTACAGGGGCGAACCGAGGGCAGCCGGGCTGTATGCTCTTGCCACCGTTAGGCCAAAAGTCCACCGTGCCCGTCCGCACTGGGGCCCCGTAGCCCCCTGCGTCCGTATGAATCACGCCCACAAACTCCCCATCTTTATGGTTACTATGAATCTACTTACTGTCATCTGAGAGAGGTACAGGGGCGAACCGAGGGCAGCCGGGCTGTATGCTCTTGCCACAGTTAGGCCAGAAGTCCACCGTGCCCGTCCGCACTGGGGCCCCGTAGCCCCCTGCGTCCGTATGAATCACGTCCACAAACTCCCCATCTTTATTTATTTATTTATTTATTTATATTAGGGAAACAAACTTATACTTTATACTTTATGGTTATGATGACTCTACTTACTGTCATCTGAGAGAGGTACAGGGGTGAACCGAGGGCAGCCGGGCTGTATGCTTTTGCCACCGTTAGGCCAAAAGTCCACCGTGCCCGTCCCTACTGGGGCTCCGTGGATAGCCCCCCGCATCCATATGGATCACGTTCACAAACTCCGCATCTTTATGGTTATTATGACTCTACTTACTGTCATCTGAGAGAGGTACAGGGGCGAACCGAGGGCAGCCGGGCTGTATGCTCTTGCCCCCGTTAGGCCAGAAGTCCACCGTGCCCGTCCGCACTGGGGCCCCGTAGCCCCCTGCGTCCGTATGAATCACGTCCACAAACTCCGCGTCTTTCGCGTTGACATGCTCCATCACTACTCCATCGGGGTAGAACGCGGGAAATGCCGGGTCCAAGGCTGTTAACCTGGAAAATAAAAATATTCATAAGTTAACCAAGCTTACTTGAAATCGAATAGGTCTGGAAGTCAGTAAGTATTGCCCTGTAATGGACGACGGACGTATTCTATGTATTTATGACATTAAAAGCGCTTTAAAGTTTAGAAATTGACCATTTAGGCCTGGAACTCTTTGCAATTGGAAATCCCAGCTTATTCAAATAATTTATAACAAGGCAACAACTTGATCATACATGAGTAAGTTTTAATTTAATATGTCACGAACATACCTACTACATGTAAGACGTTATAATAAATTAACACTGTTCAAATACGAATACCATTAATTACATACTTTTGCCACATAATGTACTTATAACGATAATACGGGGTGGAAATTAAACGTAATTTTGGCCTAATTTGCGGTGTATTATCATAGGTTCATTAAGATGAAAAGTAACATACAAGTATAACAGCATACAAATAAGTAAGTACAAAATGAGATTTGTAGTACAGTCACGGAATGAAAAGGTTCGTCAGGTCAGTTTTCAAATTGATTCCTTCAACGAATCGCGAGCACATATTACCTTTTGAAACTATGTTACAGAATAATCTCGAGTTAGAGAAAATAATCTTTAACTGTTCGTCACTGAAGTTTAAAATTATTCAGATCAAAGTTGTTTGACGTTTTAACTTGTCAAGAAGATTATTATGATTGATAAACTAAAACCTTCTTGTTGGTTCCACCTGCCATTATCTATTAAATTAAAAAAAAACTACATTTTGTAACATTTGCACTGATGGGATAGAAAAATAAACAAGCAAAACCTTATTCGTTAGCAAACGTCATATTTATTTAAATGTTAGCAGCACTGTTTCTTGCACGGTTATGTTGGCAGGTTTGACTCTTACAGTACCTAGTGCAAGCGAAAACCGACACTAAGGTGACGAACCTTTTCATTCCGCGACTGTACAAGTACAAAAATTTAAATTTTCAGCGAAATTTTTTAACGGATTTACAACTTACACGTATGCAATGGTCGATGAAACCATCAGTTAAGTTTTTATTGACTAATCCTATTCGCACATTCGACAATCTCACCTTTTAGCTCACCTTGACCGAATCATAATTATTGAATTAAATGTTATTTATGTCTTCATCACTAGTAAGACGACAACGGAGTTAAATTGAATTGATTACTTCGTAAAACTTTCCGTTCAATTATTAAAGTGTTCATGTTTTAAAGTGCTAACTACGAGTACGTTCTGCTCGCTTCGAACTAAAATCCCAAGGTTCTACTGTACTTAGCGACTCGTGATTCAAGGAAAACTGGCTGTCCGTATTATTATGTTAGTTATTTTGATTAATATATTTATATTTAGCCCATTGAAGTTATAAATAAGTTGTTAATATTGTAATTTACATTGGGAAAGTAGTAAAGTAAAACTCCGTTCCTTATCTTATGAGCTATTACACTTTATTCATATTTTATCAATATTTTGGTATCGAGTAATTTTTTTATGAATAGGACAATGCTATTGCTTTGTGATAATTTTAGAAAGTGTGTCAATGATGATTAAAAAAATTACTTTCGCGTGTTACGCTTATTCTTTTAACAATGTTTAGTAACTGAGTCATATTATACTACATTATGAATAGGATATGGTAAATTTTTACTACCATTATCCTGGTTAAAATACCGCATATTTTGAACCGAAATAATGATTACGTTACTTTTGCACGTTACTTCATACTTATTAAAATAATGACGCTTGCATGATGCTATGGTATACAATCGTGAGAAAATAATTGACTCAAACTTTTAGGCTCTTATTACAAAACGAAGTTTGTAGTCTATGATCAAGCTCTAACAGAGGTTCAAGGATAACCCCTCGTGGTAAGCTAAATATGCAGCGAGGATCGAACCCGCGTTCCTCGGATCTCGAGTCGACCAATCCGACCCCTTCACCGTTCGGCTATCGTGGCTTGGCTTGCTTGCGATTGGTAACTCTTTGATATTCATATAATATACCTTTTGACAGTCTTGTTATATGTATGTTGTAGATCCCTCGCCGTGTAGCCGGCCACGTGGCTGCCTAGCGAGTGGCCTATGATATGAACTTTGTCTAGACATAGACCGGCTTCCAGGAGAGAGTTCAGGTGTTCTGCTGCTGCTGCACCCACCTGTAAGGAATATGACTTTGCTTTATATTTATAGGGTTCCGTAGCTAAGGGTATCGGGTCCTATTGATATATACAGGGTGGAATTTTGTAATGCCACCTGGAGGGAAAGTACTCTTAATACTGTAGATAGAAAATTTTACAGAAAGAAAACATTCCTTTATTTTTGAAAAAAAAAACTGCATTCATAGATTTTCGAAAAAAATTCGAAAATTCACTACCATACCTACCTACAATTTTCTGTACGTACTTAATTAAAATAATTTAAGATTTCATGATTTTCCTTTCATTTGATTTATCAAGTTTGTTAGAGAGATTTCATCCTTATACTTAACCCTAACGATCGATGCAATAAAAATACAGGGTGTAATTTTTAACAGATTTTAGTTGGTTCGATTCCCGGGTGTGGCAAGCAAATTTTTGGAAATCTTTGAATGCAGTTCTATTTCTTTTCAAAAATAAAGGAATGTTTTCTTTGAGAATTTTTTCATATCTACAGTATTAGCATTCCAGGTGGCATTACAAAATTCCACCCTGTATACGCTGTTTTTGTCCAGTCAGCGTCAAATAGGTCGTGACACCCAAAGTGGGCAAAAAGTTGGACGACACAACTAACACAACCTCAGATCATGGAAGGGAATAGATGTGAAACGGGGGCGTGGCGCGTGTCTCCGCGATATGCCCAGAAACGAACATCGGCCGCGTAGCTAGGTTAGTCGCGATTCAGTCGTACTAAGGAAATGTTCTCCGAATTTTTTGGATAATGCGTCGTTACGTGCAATAAAACAAGTGAAACGAAGAACTACAGGAACAATGGAGTCATTTACTACATGTAAGTATTGCAAATCCATTGGTATTTTGGTTATAAATAAAAAAAACTTAACATTTTTACGAACGAATTCAGTGCCGTAACAGTTACTGCGATATCGAAATCAGTGGTGATAAAAATTCTAACACACTTGTACATTGACGATTTAGTTAGCAACCACTTTATGTCATGCTCAACTACTGCGCGATGTATTTAATTTCTTCCGATATCCACTGTCGTGTGAAAATACACAGTACGGCCGCATGTGCCGGTCGTAACATAGTGCCGTGCTCGTGTTCTAATGCGGTTTCCTATTATCGATAAATAGAAGTAAATTATGATTTTCTATTTTGTAATTTTAAATAAAAAAATTATGTTTTACAAAAAAAAAAAATAACAGTAGAAGTAATTAGTAACTGTCAACTATGTAATTACTATAACAGCTAGTTGAAAGCCTAATATAGGCATTATTTTTGATAAACATATGCGGTACGCAGATCGCCATAATTAATCCTTCAAGGCCCGCGAATCTAGACACAATAGATAATCAATTGTTATGACATTAATTAATGCCGTCTGGGACTCAAGCGGTTAAAAAGTAAATGCGTGATAGTAGTTAATAATAACGTATAATAATAAAAAGGTTTTCATACATAAGCATTTTGTGAAACCAGTTTCTAGCCTTGCCCCTAGCGATTTAAAGTATCGATATCTTGTCGACTTCATTTTATCTTTGTTCTCTCACTAGTTTTCAAAGTGTGCGTCACGTCACGCGGCCATTGATTGGCCTTAAGGCACGCCTTCTGGCCAATCACAGCACTTTTAAGCCGGTTGCACATGTTGTCGTAGACTCTCAGTCGCTTTGTTTTTACACAGTTGAATGTGTGTGTGGGAGCTGTGGTGGGAGAAATGTGGGGACACTGGTTCTCGTTGTAGTTACGCGCGACTTCATATCTATTCTCTTTCTATGATCTGAGAACACAACCCTATTCCACTTGTAACAAAGACGTGTTGCGAATTTGGACGGCTACTTTGGGTGTCACGAACTATTTGACGCTGTTTGTACTATGAAAATTGAATGTTCATTGAATGCATGTGTTCTCTTGTCCCTTAAAACTAATTGTATTAACAGAAGTACCTACTCGTAGTACTGATACAAAATCATGATTCAATATTGTACGATCTTACGGAACCCTTGTTAGAGCCAGACTCTTGGGTAGTTTTTATTTTATTTCAAAAACTTTGGAGAACACTAGAATGTTTTAATAAATAAATTTAAGCAAGATTCAGGTTAGCTAGACACTCTTATCTGATTGATAACTGATGTTTATCTAGTACATCTCACGTGTGCAAACCTTGGAGTTGCCGCACACGTAAACTGACAGATATATGTGTCCGGGCATGTAGTGATCAAACTTTAAGGGCCAAATCTAGGGACAATTTTATCGATAAAAATATTTCAAATTTGGGGCTTGACCCATTTATCGCAAAATTACAAGGATTTAAGTTTTTAATTTTTACTTTTCACCTCTTCCTTCAAAAACAAGTGAAAGCGTGGGTAGCTTAACATTAATAAGCAAATATTTTATATCATGCGATAGCCAATAAAATTATCTATTAGTAATAGTAGAAAACAGACACAAGTTTCATATATTTTATGGGAGTAAGAATGGTTTTAAATAAAAAAATACATAACTTTTTTCACTTCTTTTTCAGTTATTTTCCAACACAAGAAAAACCAGGTCGTTAAGGTATGTTTTATTTGCATTGTATTATTAGTATTTGAGCTATTCTACAAAACGAATGTAAATTTATTAGTCTACGTCTATTAGTTTCGACGTAATTGTTGAACAAAGATACCCCTTCCCAGCGGTTTCCATAGTAATCGGAATAGGTTGTGTGATTCTTTTACGCAGTCCATTTTCGCATGTCGCGTGCGCTATGGAAACCGCTGGGAAGGGGTATCTTTGTTCAACAATTACGTCGAAACTAATAGACGTAGACTAATAAATTTACATTCGTTTTGTAGAATAGCTCAAATACTAATAATACAATGCAAATAAAACATACCTTAACGACCTGGTTTTTCTTGTGTTGGAAAATAACTGAAAAAGAAGTGAAAAAAGTCATGTATTTTTCTAATTAAATCCATTCTTACTCCCTTAAAATGTATGAAACTTGTATCTGTTTTCTACTTCTGCTAATAGATAATTTTATTGGCTATCGCATGATATAAAATTTTTGCTTATTAGTGTTAAGCTACCCACGCTTTCACTTGTTTTTGAAGGAAGAGGTGAAAACTAAAAATTAAAAACTTAAATCCTCGTAATTTTGCGAGAAATGGGTCAAGCCCCAAATTTGAAGTATTTTCATCGATAAAATTGTCCATAGATTACGCCCTTAAAGTTTGATCACTACATGCCCGGACACACTGTATAATATAGGGTGTCCACGATTATGTCAGCTTACTATATTGCATTACATTTAATACAATTTATTTGATAGTGATTTATTTATTTTTCATTTACAAATAAGGTTAATATAAATAAATTTCATAATATACTGCCTACCAAGTAGAGTTATTAGTTGTAATTAATTGAAGTCTAAAACCTGTAGAGAGACGGCAGGTTAATTAGGCTTTTTAGCCTTAACAGAAAACGTGTTATACGTAACGAAAATATTTATTGTGGAAACGGTAAATTTTTATTACCTGTTTGATTGAGTAATACTCGCATTTACTAATCTTTCAAAGTAATTGAATGATTTCAATAACAAGCAACCAATAAATAAACGTAATAACTTGAAATAATTTAGGGTCTTTTTAATTTTTTTTCCTAAAAACTTAGGTTTTCTTGCTACATCTCAAATATTCACCCCGTATACAACGCTATCTCCGACATTATCTAATGCCATTGCGTGTAAGCATGCATATTGTTCTCGTTGAACATAGTCTCTACATTTGTTTCTGAAATACATTTATATTATCAAAAAATTGTAAAAAAAAAACTTTGTATACTAAGGTAGCACAGTCAGTATATGAATAGATGATTTTCAATGCTATTAACGCTATGTTTCGTAATTATTTAGCATCTCCCACGGTTTGTTTACATAAATCATCGATTTTGAAAATTATCACGTACGAAATGTATAAATGTTTTGCATATTAATAGTTCGACACGTACAAGCCTTGAAGTAATCTTGTGGTACTTAGGAAATAATTATGAATCGTGAATCATACTTTACATTGTCGTTCGTTCTCTGTTTATGTACAAAATTATTGATACTTAAAAAATAGATAAGTTTACAAGTATTTGCTGGGGTCCTAGATGTGGTTAAATGGTAGGTACATACTAATTATTATGTTCGTAACATAGTAATATTTTACTAGGAAAATCTGTGTGATCATACCTTTTTTGTGTTCCTTGCAGCATTAAGTAAATAAGAGCCGTGGGACATATTTGACCAGTCCAGAAGAATCACGTTTGTGCCAGGTCTGGATTCAAGGTAGGCATTTACTACCACCTGAAAAAAAAGCAGAACATATATAAAAGAATCCTTTCGATGAAAAATTACCTCACTATATATTTTTATAAATTGATGTAGGTAATATGCTGTAACATTCCGGTTTTCATTCACTAAAACTGTGTGTGAAAGTAACATTCTCACAAATTATATTACTTTTTTAACTCGTTAAGTTGTATTAGTATGAACTATCTGAAATAATTATGTAAGAAATCATTAACTAAAACTTAAATCTTGATTTTTTTCTGCAAATCTTAATTTAAAAGATTTATTGGATTGGTATTAAGAATCATTAATTTCAGTGATTACAATAAAAATTAATGTTCTTCATGATATATTGATAATTATTAGTACGAAATCTAATTATTACTTGGTTAATTGCTAATGATGATTACGATATTTTTGTACTAATTACTGATCGAGAACCTAAGTAGTCAGGCAATCGGCTCGCACAATTTTTATATTGAACAGCACAGCTTGTCTGAAGGTTTAAAAGATCTTAGTTTCACTTTCATATAAAAGTGAGACTAAGATGCAGGCCAAAGTTATAATTAATCGCTGTCTTTTAAAAACTCATACCTGAATAAATTGGTAAAATCGAACTGCCTAAGGTGGGAATTGAACCCACTACCTTTCGCTTGCCGAGTGACTGCTCTTCTTACTGGATTAACTAGTCGAAATTTTCAAGTGTAATACGCTTAACTTCGAACTCCTCCTGTGTTCTTCTGATTAATTTCGTTGCGGGTCTAATTACAATTTAACTTTCCCCCGGGACAAACTTAACCTACACTGGTTAGTATTTTTTTATGTGACAGGAGGCAAACGAGCAGACGGATCACTTGATGTTAAGTGATTACCGTCGCCCATACACCCGCAGTCCCAGGTGCGTTGCCGGCCTTTAAGGTGAAGATACGCTCTCTTATTGAAAGCGATTAAGCTTTAGATCCTGGGCCTGGCCTACATAAATTGCAGCGGTGGGAACGAGAAGTTAATATTCCCGTTAAGTGTAATACGCTGTAACGGCCAGCTCATACCTGAATGCTCTCCTGCTGCGCTGTCTCTATGAAGCCGTGGATATAGAGCACGGTGGGGCTGTTCTTGTCGAAGCCCTTGATGTCCACCAGCCGGCTGGCTTGCGATAGAGGCATGTCCACGTAGTCTTCTGTACTCGTTCTAGAGGTAAAGAGGCGATTTTTGTTATGGAAGGATTTTGGTAGAGAGTCAGTGCCAAAACGCACGATTATACGTTGCGGCGCTGTGTCGTCACATAGAAATATCTGTGGCGGGCACACGATCGGTGCGGCACGCGCGATACGGCGAAAGCCAAATTGTGGTGCGGCGCCGCAACGCATCATGTGCTTCGGCTCTCAGAAGTGTGAGTAGTCTTATGTATTTGTTCTAGAGAAAAAAGGCAATTTTTTTAAATAGTTCGTGACACTCAAAGTAGCCAAAAAGTTCGCAACACGACGTCTTTGTTGCAATTGGAATAAGAGTGTTGTTTTTGGCCACTTTGGGCGTTACACATGAAATATATTTTCAAAATAACTATCAGGGGGTGATTAGTGATCGATACTGTGTGCTTACCATGAGTTTACGTTAGGTGTGCTCGCTAGCGAGTAGGTACGTCAAAAAATCTATGAAGATTTTATTTCTTGAAAGTAGCCGCTAGAGGCGTTGCACAATATGTCATACATTTTAATGTCATTTTTTTACGCAGTCGCTAGCGAGCACACCTAATGTAAACTCATGGTAAGCACACTGATGTCAAAAATGCAATCAGTAAAATTTTTGTCTGTCTGTGGGAATTCCTAAGTACCTATGCCTGCCCAGGAGTATGAAGTATAATAGTAGAATAGAGTAGTTTTTGTTTCTATAAGGAACATACAGACAGACAGACAGATAAAAATTTTACTGATTGTATTTTTGGCATCAGTATCGATCATTCATCACCCCCTGATAGTTATTTTGAAAATATATTTCATGTACAGAATTGACCTCTCTACAGATTTATTATAAAGTATAGAATAGATGAAGGCAAAGAAGAAAAAGATAACTTCAGAATTAAGTCTTAAATTATATCTACGAGTAGATACCATTGCACTGAAATGAATTCAACATTATAAGGTTTCGTTGTGGTATCTTTGCCGGAAGCCATTGGAATTTAAATAGGTCATTATCAAAGAACATCACCAATTAACTTGCGAATAACTTGTCTTCAGTTCAATTCATTATTACTTGCATATAAAAAGTTAGATTAAGCACGTACGTACTGTATGTAGTTACAAGTGACTTATACGAAATAGACAGTTTAGTACAGCCATTTACGAAGGAAATAAGCAAGTTTTTATTTTAAAACGCAACAATCGTTTTAATAAAATTAAAATCGAAAAAAAAAAAAGGTTTTCGTGTCAGTTACTGTAAGTACTTTTCGGGGTTTTTAATACAACTCAATTAATTTTATTATTATTGAATAATCGAATTTTGTCGTGCTACAATAAAATAAATAAGGTTTTATTTTTATCAACTGTTTTTATTAATGATGTGACCTGTCCATTACTTGATTATGAGTGACAAGAAGCTACGAGTACGAGTCTTAACAAAGAGAACACGTAATTCGTTTGCATTGTAAATGCAATTCATTTACACAAACATTTATAATTACGCATCAATTATTAATAAAATATTTCAGTTTTATTATTGCCACGCTCAAAATACAATAAGATAATTCATCATTATTTCAGCCATAGGACGTCCACTGCTGATTAATATAATTAAATGATACTGATAAAATAATACGACGACCTCATAAAGGTAGCAGGAAGGCGCTGGCCGCTACCAACCGGGCGATGTGGAAATTATTCAGCAGTGGACGTCATGTGGCTGAGATGATGATGATGATGATGATGATGATAAAATAATACGCACTTACCCATTGTAAAACCGCACATAAATATCTTCTATCCGATTGCTTCTGTCGGGTAGGATGCCTGCAACAATAGAACGATGCGAAATTTAAATACAAATAGGATAATTAATTAAATTAAAGCACAATACGATAATAAGGTACAGAGTTTGATAAACATTGTGGATTTTATAAATTAAAATTTGAACATGTTTTCAAAAAGTCATAGAAAAAGTATGTTGACATGATTCTTTAGAAATAACGAAATAATAAATAACACGTTTGGTGTGTGTGTATTAGTCCTTAAAATTTCGGATCAATATCTCTCCAATACCTATACTAGTGACCGTGTGTTTGCTTTCAAAAAGGTGTATTAAGATTTTTAATCAGGAAACTTATTTATATTTAAGTACTTATAAGATTACTTATAAGCCATGTCAAGCTGTATGATTATAATATCATAAATGGAAAAGCGTTTACTTCAATAAAGATTTATTCATTATCTCTGATAGACTATTAATAATCAATGCCCCTGTAGTTATTTGTACGAACACTGATTAAAGGAAGTTATTATTATTTATTAATTATATTTAATTCTGTGGAGCGGCATGAACTTTGCTCGTGATTATTTCATAGTCTAAAGATGAAAAACGGAATAAAAAGCAATCAACACACTTACTTGTTTGATTTTCATTTTCAGCAGTCGTGGATAAAATTAAGCAGAATTTGATCGTGAAAAGTACGAACAACATGCTGAAGAACTTTAGACTTCAGCTCAGTTCTTCAGACTGCCGAGAACAATGCAAGTCGAAGCTACTTATAAAGAAATGATGTGGCTCTATTATACTCTAGGTAGCTAAGTTTTCTTGTAATAATACCAATCGTTTTAGGGTTCCGTGCCTGAAATGGAAAAAACGGAACGCTTATAGGATCACTATGTGGTCATGTCTCCGGAACATTAAAAAAATGAAATGAAATAAAAAAGGGTCTATAGGGAAGGATGGGGCGGCGTACGGTCAAAATTTTGAAGGGAGTTAAACGTGTCATGTGGGGCATATCGTATGAAAGGACTTAATTGGTATAGTTTTCAATTTGTGAGATGACGTAAAAGGAAAAAATAACCTACCTACAAAGTCCGGAACGGAACTCCGACTCGCACTTATCCGGTTTTATATTGTTTTTTTTACTGTGCAGTTTACAGAGATATGAGAGTTTCCACGTAAATTGGCTTTGATCAAAGGTAATAAGTGTGTAAGAAGGAGGCAGTCATGATTACACTTTGAACCACGATTGAACTTTATTCCAAGCGAATAAAGTACAGAATTTGATAATTATTTTCATACAGGCTTTAGCGGCTGACTGTACGTGTGATGTTAAGTGGAGGCTGTCCCAGCAGTGAGCACAAAGCTTTGGTGACGCGAAGGTGTTAAATGGACGCTTTTGACCTAATTAACCGATGGAAATGAGTCCTTACTTCGTAAACCTACGGCGTGAACCTTGCTTGAAAACCACAGGTTTAATTTCGTTTTCATCTTAACTAATAGGAGAGCAGAAGTACAGTATTACAGTACTAAAATAAGTTAGTTCTGAAAATGTGACAAGACAATTTTGTGTAATTTTAATAATAAAGTAACTTGAATAAAACTCTTTTACTATAATAAAAATGTTATTATCCAAAACCCATAGAATATATAAAAACTTAGGAAGTTTTTGCTAGAAGTTTAGATGGTAATTTTCCACCAAACAGCCAAGTCAAGGACACAATTACAAAAACTCATAGCATGGCGCTTTGAAACGTAGGTATACTTTAATGTTTCGTACCTACATTAGCCATGCCCGCGACTTCGTACGCGTTAAAATATGTAGTTTGAATAATATTTCCCGTGTTTGCAACAGTTTTCTTTTGGCTGGCTCTTTTTTTCCCTATTGGCTGTAGAGTGATGCTATAAAGCCTTCATCGACACAAAAATATATTTTTTCAAAACGGACCAGCACTTCCTGAGATTAAGAAAACAAAGAAATAAACACTTTCAGCTTTATAATAATTATTAAGTATAGAGAACAAACAAAAACATACCTACTATCTGGTTGTGTTGATAAGCCGTCTGGCGATGTGATGGGCTGACCTAACAGAGACAAGGGCCAGGCTGACCTGGATTTCACAATTAAAAATTCATCTTAGAAGTCTTTCAACTGACATTATAAATAGCGACAGCCCTTTGAATCGTTAACGATGTAAGTGAAGTGTTTGAAACGTCGAAATTGTAGCGAGAATGTGGCAAGAATGGGTTGTGGGCATTATATTGTGTGTGTGTATAATAGTTTAGGTTTAGGGTCAAAAAACTTAAATTTCATTAAAATTTGTAATACCTATGGTCATACAATTCTATGACATCAGTGTATTCGATTTATCAGAAATCGAATAACAAACCTTTTTACTAAAAAAAACACATTGCGAGAAATTAAACAACCAGAAGTTAAAAATAACAACAAGCGAAAATGGTTCATGTTTAATTGGTTTAATTTATTTTGATTATTTTTCTAATTAAGCAAGCTAATTAAGAAATAAAATTAAAAGTATAAGGAACCATACGAAACTTTTGGCTATCAGTAGCAGTATTATCATGGTAAATTGTTATCTGTTATACATTTGCACTATTTATTACATGCGAATTTGTGAATGTCACTGTGTTCGTTACATTTTTCAGACATTAAGTTTACAGGAATTTCGACATATATATAAATTGGACTTTGGAGAATCACCTAGGTACCACAATGAGGGTTTTCGCGATTGAAAAATCCGCCAGATGGCAATACGTAGACGGGAGGTCCAAATGCTGCATGATTGGTGGATTTTGACATATCTGTCAATTTCATGTCAAAAATAACCAATCATGCAGCATTTGGACCTCGCGTCTACGTATTGCCATCTGGAGGATTTTTCAATCGCGAAAACCCTCATTGCCAAAAAAACTTGGAGTGGGTAAAATAGGTGATAAAAGGTGATAAATAAGAGAGATCTTATTTACTCGTATATGGTAGAAAAGCTCTATGTATACTTTTTGTCGTTCTAAGACCTTACTCATTCTAATTTTAGCCCACGAAGTGAAACCCTTTTTCATGAAGTATTCAAAGAAGTATTGAACCATCTTGGTGTCGATACATTGGAATCCAGCTCCAATTGATTCCAATAAGCCCCGAGTGGCCGCAATAGAACAAACAAACCGATGATATTCATCTTGTCAATGAAAGTATATGGACGCAAAGCAACCAATTAAAACGTCGACATTGGTTGGTTTTAGAATTACATACCCTCGCGTAGGGACTAATAGCATTTACTGTAGGTTTTTTTTCTACCACATGTGATTCACAATATTTTTATGTTCAATACAATTATACCTCGATTGTGCATTGTGTAAGGTTTAGTAGGGTAAACCAGAGAGTGATTGCCCACTGGTAGTGATTGCCCGCTTTAAGAATAATATCGTCAGGTGCTGACTTTGAATCACTCTAGTTAGATTTGAATTGACTAAGTAGATGGCTCCGTGATCAATGTACAGTAGATTTAAAATTTACAATAGGAAACACTAAAAAAAACAGTTATGGCGGATTTTGTCAAGACGGGTGAAAATGTTACTCAAACAGGTAAAGACTTTAACAATTTTACTAAGGAATTACTTGCTTAGAGGTTAATTTTTTTTCCAAGTTATTTAATATTCAACTAATGGTGTATAGTCATGATGAAATTATAAGTGTTTTCTTCATTATCAATGAAAATAACTGATAAAATTTGATTTCTAACGGTCATTTTAACGGTGGGTAATCACTGCACGTAAATCTGTATATTTTTAGTTATTGCCCGCCATCATTTCAGTTATTGCCATAAGTTAATGTATAGTTATTGCCCAGGGCAATTATTATTAGAGTGTTGCCACCATGCAGTAGCAGTGTTTAAGTTGCTCATTGCTAGACTTGTTTTGCAATTTACAGGCATAAATATTGAAATGGCTTTTAATGTTTCATTTTCAGTATGCCAAAGACTCCAAAAGTTCAATATAGCATAGAAAATTTGTAAAAAGCGATCGAAGCTGTACAAGATGTATCCAACAATTTATCTACTTGCTGAAAAATATGGTTTGGCTTGAAAAAATTGAAAAAAATTCAAACGCAAATACAAAAATTGAAAAACCTACGTTAAATATACTAGTGAAAATGTTAATTGTAAGGAAATAATAGATACAACTTTAGGGAAGAATAACCAACAGCTAATTGAACATTCTGAGCAACCACTTGAACTGATATCAAAGAAGATAAAAAAATAAATACATATAAAATTTACATATAAAATTCAAATTTTTGCGTCATCTATGTTTTGAAGTAGATGATTCTGTCTCTACCGATTCTGACTCATCAACATCAGCTTAAGAAATATTTGATAATAATAATATAGTTAATAAGGCCAAACGCAATTTATTTTGAAATTTTGAAAACTGTACTACTAGAATTTAAGTTTAATGTTTTGTTTTGTTTATTTAAAGCCTATTTTGTCATTTTAAAATTGATTATTTTGTTTTAAGAAAGTGGGCAATTACTGTGCTTTGATGTGGGCAATTAGTGTAAGTAATGGGCAATGACTGTACTTTTTGGAGGATTTTAAATTTATTTCAATATTTTCTAAGTTACGTAAGTTTTAACTAAAAACTGTTAATATTCTGTTTAACAGTTTATTGAGTTATAAGAAAAAAGTTATAAATGGTCGATAATTAAAATACTTTCTTTAATTTTTCATCTCAATGTGTTTGAAATCTTTAAGTGGGCAATAGCTATATGGTTTACCTTATCTTAGTATCTTAGGCTGGGTTGCACTATTTTACTTTAACTTTCACAAACGTCAAAAATCTGTCAAATTCCATACAAAAAGCACCGGTTATCGTTATAGTAACCGTTATATTTAGGTGGTGCAACTCAGCCTTAGTAATTAATACCTACAGACGTAAGTAGCGTTTAGTCCTTTTTTTGGGTTTTCATCCAGTCACTGTCATCTTTAGTGATCCCCGTATGCCATTTTATATTTCTACATATACTAAAGTCAAAGTCAAAGTCAAAATTTCTTTATTTGTTTAGACTAATAAATAGTTCTTACAAACTATTTATTAGTCTAAACAAATACGTTATCTATGAGGGAGGACGGATGGATATTTGTTACGCTTTTACGCAAAAACTACTTATTGAACGGATTTTTATGGAACTTTACATTATTTTTGACATAATTTACAACGATATTTTAAACCCACCGCCTCAAACCGCGGGTAAAAGCTAGTCTACTCGTATTAAAATTCGACCATGTTTTGGAAAATGGGTTTTTCCAAATTTCGCACCTTCACGTATTAATTAAGCAGGCTAATTAGTAAAACAATGAAGAGTTTAAAGAGCCATACAAATCGATTGGCTTCAGTATTATCACGGTATTATCATGGTAAATTGGTGTTGTCTATACATTCACGACATCTTACATGTTTAATGAATGTAAATTGTCGACAATCGGACGGGGGCTGAATGTCAATGACATCGGTATTACTAATTAATTAAGTTACGTCATACCGATTGAAGGCGGATTAAAAATTAGGTTCAATATTAATTATATTCATGATGGATATTATCTAACTTAGTATATTATTGGATCTGTTAGCTTTTGTAAGTCGCTTCACTTCAGTTTTCGGTTCCTTTAAAAGTATCTGTTATCGCGCTTCACAGGTTACAAATTACTTTATTTCAGATATTCTTATCAGTTACAGTATGTTTTTA